TCTCTCATTGCTGTGGCCAACCTCAGGTACCGAGACCCTCCCGCCCAGTTCCCCTAACCCCGGTGCTGCTCAGGCCCGTGGCTGGGAGTCACTGCCCCTCCCAAGGGGAGCTCCTCTGGCAGAGGTGGCAGGAAGGGTCACTACCTCTCCTGGCTGCTCTGTTCTTTGCACTCCAGTCACATTGCAATGGCTTTGGGGAGAGGCTGACTCCCAGGATCAGATACAGGAGGGGCAGCAGGGTCCAGGGAACAGGCCCCATTCCTGCCCTGCCACTGTCGGTCTGGGAAACCTTGGCCTTATCATTCCCTGGCTCAGTGCCTCAGTTTCCATTCTCGCCAGCCTCTGCCTATTTCCCTGCCAGTCCCACCCCCGCACTGCACAGTCTAATACCGGCTCCTCTCTCTTGCCAGCACCATGACACCTGCCCTGGAGCCGGAGCTGGAGACCCACCTCCTCCAAGCCACCCTGCACGCAGTCTTCACTCTGGGCACGCAGACGGACACCAACCAAGTCCAGGTAGATCAGCCAGCTGTTATCCTGCCTGAATCCTTACTAATTGCATGCAGTGGGATGTGAATGAGAGAGGCCAGGATATGTGTTTGGGGGTCTCACCAGTGCTTATTATATAGAAATTTATGTGTTCAAAACACAGTTCCAAATGACTTCAGTTGCATCTGTGAGTGCTTAGCATTGCAAACCAGACTCCGGGGTCTCAAGTCAGGCACTTACAAAATGAGGAACACAGCCTTAGTAACCACCTGTGAAAGATCTGATTTAAGTGACTTGCCTAGCATCACATATGAACTCTGTAACAGAGGCAGGGATAGAGTCCAGTTCTCCAGGTCAGCATTCAACTGCCTTAAACATGTGACCATACTTCCTCATAGTGGAATCCCATTCCTCATTCAATATACATCTTTCACCTTCTATAATAAATGAAGCAGGTGTACTTCAGATAATAGCCTCCTTCACTACACAACCCGGATCCATCCCCATCCAGTGAAATCAGTGAGGCACAGAGGGGTCATCCTGTGGAATAAAAAAGCATGTGATTGGATAATTAAAGATCATAATGCATATGCAGAAGAGGGGCCAAATTAAGGTTGCAAAAACAACCTTAATTCTGGCATTTCCTAACTTCTGAGTGCTTGACTTTGCAACCTTAATAGTTTTGTGCATTTAATTTCCTAAGCTTTTTAAAAAGCAAACTGAAATAAACAGCAATTCCATCATGTGGCATCATACTGTTACCCACATGGGTCATCTGCAAGATTGGAACCTTTAGATCCACGGCACATACTTAGAGCCCTGCAAATCTGCAGGTATCTGCTTTATATCCGTGGACCATTTTTGTGGATAGCATCATGGATGCGGATACAAATTTTGTATCTGTGCAGAGCTCTGAAAGTAAGAGCTGGGCAGCAGCTGTGAGGAACCATGGCACAGATCCTCCAACTGCCCTGGGCAGAGGGCTTGGGGGGCAGGGGCAGAGGGCCTGGGGGGGCTGCTCAGGCCCCCTGCCGAGGGCCGATGGAGGGTCCGCCCTGCGGCTCCCCACAGCTGCCAACCCGGCTCTTACCGTGGCTGGGCTGCAACTCCAAGCTGCCCCTCCCCCTGACCAGAGCCGGGTTGGGGAGAGCCATGCTGTGGGGAGCCTGGTTGGGGAACCTGGGGGGCAGGGACACTGGTCGGGAAGCCTGGGAAACAGGGACATGGGCTGGGGGCTGCTCAGGCCCCCCACCCAGGGCAGGTAGAGGGTCCGCCACAGCCTAGGTCCCTCCACCTGCCCATGGCAGGTGGCCTGGGGGGCAGGGACACAGGCTGGGGGCTGCTTAGGCCCCCTACCCAGGGCAGGGCAAGTGGAGGGATCCAGGCTCCCCACAGCTGCCAGCGCGGCTCTCCAGGGCTGTCCGGGAGGGCGGCTGGGAAACAGGGACCTAGGCTCCCCACAGCTGCCAGCGTGGCTCTCCCCAACCCGGCTCTGGCTGGGGGGCAGGGCGCTCGGAGCCGCAGCCCAGCCACAGTAAGAGCCAGGCAGGCAGCTGTGAGGAGCCGCAGCAGACCCTCTACCTGCCCAAGCAGCCCCTGGGCAGCTCCACAGGTCACCCCCGTCCCTCCCCAGCCAGGCCAGTGTGGAGTCCAGCCGGGGAGCCATGGGAAGCCGCAGCAGACCCTCCAACTGCCTGCAGTATGGAGGGAGAATGAGAGCAGCCCGTGGCCATGTCACTGCCCTCCCAGACTCCCTGCCTGGCCAAGGGCAGATGGAGGGTCCGCATCTCTGCGTGGGCTCCCTACAGCTGCCTGCGCAGCTCTCCCCGACTGGGCTCCGGTGGGGGGGTGCCTCAGAGCCTCAGCCTGGCCATGGTAAGTGTGACTTTCTGCAGTCTATATGGTTTTATAAAAACTTGATAAGTCAATCTACTGTAACTGGGATAGTTTTAGAGAAAATATGATAATAAGTGAATATAACGTAACTGGGATTTGCTTCATGCAAAAGGTCTCTCGTTAAGGTATCATTACAAAGCTTATAATCTACTGAGTATGATCATCTGATTTGTATAAATGTACCACTCTTGTATCTAAAACTAGAAATATAAAACATAACTCTGAGGGCCTATTGTAATTATGTAAAGTGTGGGCCATTAATGATGGTTTGGAATCTTGATGACTCCCATTAACCAGGACCATTGTCTGCAGATGGTTGTGTTTACCTGTGAGTCTTCCTGTATATGTGTGTGCTGGCAAGTGGGCAATGAAGTCTTGCAGTGATCACGTCACCTGAACTGGAATCCATCTTTAACCTGGTGCTTTTCCAGTGATGGGGGGTGGAAACCCAGAGGGACAAAGGGTTCCCGCCTTATGCAAAAGATATGTAAAGGGGTGGAAGAGAACAGAGAGGAGAGATCATGAAGAATCCCCTCGCTACCACCTGAGCTGGAACAAGAGCTGTACCAGGGGAAAGAATTGTGCCCAGGACCGGAAGGTGTCCAGTCTGAGAAAAACTTACTGAAGCATCTCTGAGGGTGAGATTATCTGTATTTAGCTTGATTAGACATAGATTTGTGCATTTTATTTTATTTTGCTTGGTGACTTACTTTGTTCTGTCTGTTACTACTTGGAACCACTTAAATCCTACTGTCTGTATTTAATAAAATCACTTTTTATTTAGTAATTTACTCGAAGTATGTATTAATACCTGGGGGAGCAAACAACTGTGCATATCTCTCTACCAGTGTTATAGAGGGCGAACAATTTGAGTTTGCTCTGCATAAGCTTTATGCAGGTTAAAATGGATTTATTTGGGTTTAGACCCCATTGGGAGTTGGGCATCTGAGTGCTAAAGACAAGCACTCAGATGCCCAACAGATGTGAGCTGTTTTCAGGTAAATTTGCAGCTTTGGGACAAGTGATTCAGACCCTGGGTCGGTGTTGCAGCAGACTGGAGTGTCTGGCTCAGCAAAACAGGGTGCTAGAGTCCTGAGCTGGCAGGGAAAACAGGAACAGGGGTGGTCTTGGTACACTGGGTGGCAGCTCCCAAGGGAGTTTCTGTGATCCAACCTGTCACAGTAAGTAAATCTGCAGACAATTTTTGCAGATCGCAGACTGGATGCGGATACACATTTTGTATCTGCGCAGGGCTCTACACATGCTTTTGCCACTTGAGCTAATGAATGAGCAATGTGGACACGCACTAGAGGAACATGGGACACAAACTGTGCCAGTGGATTTCACAAATATTTGCTGACAGCACAGGAATGGTAAGACTCAGGAATCCTGGGCTCCATTCCAGGCTTTAGAGAGGAGCATTCTCTAGTGGGCCTAGACTCTTTTGTCCATTGTCCCCAAGCATGACCTCTTCTGCCCCATCCCCTCCAACCTGTCCCTGGTCCAGTCTTGTCTCTTCCCCACCCCAGGCTCTTTGTCCAAATTCCATTCTCTTTGCCTACCAACTGCCACTCTCCACCCCTTAGGCTTCTCATGCCAGTCCCAATCTTCTTGCCCAGCAAGTCCTAATCTCCACCCCCTAACTCTTAGTTTCCTTGTCCAGCCATTCCCAGTTCCCCCACTTCAACCTCCAGCTCTTTGTACCCAGTGTCATTGTCCAAGTGGTCCCTGTTACTCCCCTCCCAGCTCCTCATCCGATCTCTCTTCCCCCCCTCCCCCCCGCCACTACCCTGGCTTCCTGTGGCCCCCGTCCTCTCTGCCTCCCAGTCCCAATCTCCCTCCCCAGGATTCTTGTCCAATCTTAGTATCGTTGTCTCCCACCTTCTTGTCTAGTCCCTTTTTTCCAGCCACTCCCAGTTCTACCCACCCCCCCTGCACCCTAACTTCTTGTCAAATTTCACTTCCCTCTTCCCACCTCTCTAATTCTTAGTACCAGTCTCCATGCCCAGCCAGCTCCAGATTCCCCACTACCGCAGCTCCCAGTCCCAGATTTCTTCCCCTGCCACACACACACTAGCTGCCAGCCCCTCTCTTCATCTCCCTCCCAGACTCCTTGTCCAAATCTACTCTCTGTTTCCCATGCAGGTCCAGTTCTGCCCACTTTGCATTTGATTCACACAGCTTGTTCCTACACACAGTTTGGGTCCAGTAGGGATTTCACTGAGAGCATAGGGCCCTCAGCTCAGTTGCCTAGATCTAAATCCAGACCCAGGCCCAGCCAACAGCTGCAATTACAGGAAAAGTCCTGTTCAGTCCTAGGATGGAGCATGCATATGGCAGAAAAAGCAAAATTGCCTGAAGATTCTAACACCTAAGTCTCTACTGAACAAGTTCAAACTGAAAATTTTCTAAAGCTTATAACTTGGTCAAATTTGAGCATTTTTTCACAGGGATGGCAAAAGGCTCATCCCTGACAAAAAGGCCATTTCCCTGCCAAATTTCAAGTCCCTGATCTAAAGAATGGGGGCCATTACATATTTTTTCAAAGGAAAAGTTGCCAGAATTCTTTTAACGTGGGAAAATGTCTTTTTTCCCCTAGCCTTGTTCTTAGAAATGGCAAAACGCTTGTGACTGAAATTTTCTGCAAATAAATAAATAAATAAATACATAATCAGCCTGAGGCAGACACCTGGCATGGTAAATTTCAGCCAAGATATTTAGTCTGGCAAAGTTGTAAGCAACTGAAAACAGGGTCTTACAATGGGAAGTGTTGGGCAACCTTAATAGGCCGTACCACCAGCTCTGCCTATAAATAATAAATTCGTAGGTTTAATGGAATCAACGAAGCACTAGCTGTATGGAGTCAGGAAAAGACATCACATGGCCATTGCAAAATTTCTATTCATTTAACAAAAACAACACACACTTTCCTCTGAAGCAGCTGGTGCTGGCGACCAGAGTTCTGGACTAGATAGACCACTAATCTCTCCTGCTCAACAATTTCTCAGAGTGACAAGAGGTGCCTTAGCTTTTCCACTCAGTCACTCCTCTTGCAACATTCCAATAAAATTCATTATATTTTGCCTCCCTAAATCCCTGCTTCAGTTTCATGTAACCTTAGGTTTTTCATTGTTTTGTTTCCTAAAATGTTGTCTAGTGCTGCAGTCAGGGGCAGCTCCAGGCACCAGTGCAGCAAGCGCATGCCTGGGGCAGCAAGCCGCGGGGGGCGGCCTGCCGGTCGCTGTGGGGGCGGCAGTCAGGCTGCCCTCGGCGGCATGCCTGCAGGAGGTCCACCAGTCCGTGGCTTCGGCGGCAATTCGGTGGGGGGGACGCCGATGGCTCGGCACCGGCGGACCTCCCGCAGGCATGCCGCCGAATCCGCGTGACCAGCGGACCTCCCGCAGGCGTGTTGTCGAAAGCCGCCTGCCTGCCGTGCTTGGGGTAGCAAAAAACAGAGCTGCCCCTGGCTGCAGTGCACTGTTCAATTGTTGTTGCAATTCACTTCAGAAATGGCTGTATTTCCATGACAGGTGAAGTGATTACTATCATATCTCTAATTCGAAAAGAACTTCTAGTATTAAAGGTGCTTTATAAATAAAATAATTTAATGTAGATAGGCCCAGAAAAACGTATATTTATTGTAATTACAATGCTGCCATCTAGTAGCCAGCAGAGTAATAGCAAGGAAAACTTTCAATACCAACATATTTTTCCTCTGAACAGCTTCATATTTCAGAGTAAATATGTATTTAAGATAAAAAAATTGGAAAGCTGGAAATGTGAAATGGGATTATTTCTATTTACCAAGTCTAGTCATTGTTCTCATGACTGGTTTACAGCAGGGAGGAGTGAACTGATTTCTTTCTTGATTCTAAATCCAGAAGGGGGGGGTCTGGAGAAAACAGCCAACACAGGTCCCGATTCAGCAACATACTTAAGTGTGTCTAATTTTAAGCATATGAACAGTCACACTGAAGTCTATGTTTAAAGTTAGGCAAGTGTTTAAATACTTAAGACATTAAATGGCTTATAAAATTCAACTCTATAATGAGATTGTGGAAGCAAAAAAAGAACTGACAAGAAGGAGATGCAATACATGACAGTTCGTTAGCAAGAGTTAGGCTAACTGTAACCCTAATAACGCGAAATTTGTAGAAGCGAAGAATGTGTAAGGCAAGTAAGAAAGAACTGTGTGAGAAGTTGCTGCGACCTTGTGTAAATAATATGAAATGTAGACTAAGAGTCTACATTAGTGAGCAAAACAAAATATCAGAATGACCTATGTATAAACAAAATGCAGCTGTTGCTTATTATTGTCTGTAACAAAAAGTATAAATGCTTGCTGTAATGGTTTACCTGTTGCGAGACCTGCTTAGCTCTCTCCCTCTGCGCAGTTGTAAGAATTAATAAAGCATCTGACTTGCTGTACCCAAACAAATAGTGAGAACTCTGTTTTTCTCCAACAAGATGAAAGGAATAGATTAAATGAAGCCTCAAGTAAAGGTAGCCCCAGGAATTAAGACTGCAGGCTAAATAATGGATTGTTATTGAAACAGGAGAAAGTTTATAATGATCATATCAGTGAAGTAATGGAAAAGGTAAGAGCTTCTCAGCACTGAAAGTCTTCAACCCCGGACTTAGTACGCATGTTATATAGATAAGCAAAAGGAAGGGGATAGTGAATAGATGACCTAGTATAGCCCAATAATTCTACTTCTGAGACCCCACCAGGCACCTCTGAGATAAAGCACCTGCACATTCCTGCTCCTAGCTTTGTCCTCTGCATTGCTTCATGAACATACAACTTTCTAATTAGAGAGACAAGGTGGGTGAGGTAATATCTTTTATTGGACCAACTTCGGTTGGTGAGAGAGACTTTTGAAAGCTTGTCTCTCTCACCACCAGAAGTTGGTCCAATAAAAGATATTACCTCACCCACCTTGTCTCTCTAATATCCTTTGAGCAACACAGCTACAACATCGCATATAACTTTCTAATATAATACCGGGCAAGCATGCTCGATTTCTTATTTTATTTACTGGTAGCCCCTGTGTAGGTTAGCATGAACTGCCCTTAACTTGCCATCGGAAACAGTGACTCACATATAATAGCTGGGATATTAACCGCCCTTGGAATTTAATCTTATACTAGTGATTGAAGCACCTTTAAAGGGAAACATGGCTTGACTCTTTCGCAGGAATTGCTGTAAGGAAACAGACCCCTGTAATTCTTGTATCAGCCATAGGGTGGCAGACTTTCTCTGCCTATCCAGATAGAATTGTATTCATCATTTTAAAAAGGAGGAAGCGAACTCTAGCATGTATGTCTTTATCAGACTTATACCTGACAATTTTATGGATAAATCTCTGAGAATGAGTATTTAGCAAATGAGGATGTTTCAGTTTCAAATGTCAAGCCTTTTAAGTGCTTTGAGATAGACTAAGATATGTGGTTGAGATTAGATAAAAGGGGGCAAGTATATAAAATAATCAATAGTATGGAGAAGGTAAATTGGAAGTTTTTGTTCTCTGTGTCTCTTATCACAAGGGAAAGGTGACAGTCTATGAAATTAAAAGATGGAAAATTCAAAAACAATAAAAAGGAAATACTTTCATAAAATGTGTGATTACCACAGGAAATCATTGAGTTCAAGAACTTAATAAGATTCAAAAAGGGAACGGATACTTACATGGATGGCAATATCCAGAGTTGTCATAATTAACAACATACATTTTGGAAAGAATGAAGCACAAGGTTTAATATTCTTTCCAAAAATTTATGTTGTTAATTATGACAACTCTGGATATTCTGGTTTAAGCCAGTCTCTAATATTAGACACTAGAACGAGACCCAATATAGAGGGCAGCTTATCCTTCTGCTACCTACTGCAGGGTTCTTAAACCTTGCTCTGAAGCATCAGGTACTGATCACTGTCAGAGACAAGATTCTGGATTAGAGGAACATTGGGTCTGATCCAGTGTGGCAATTCCTAAATTTATACATAAATACATTCCATCTCAATCTACATTTACAGGTTTATTTTCATTTATATGGTTTGTAGTTGATGTTAATACAAGTGTGAGATTTTTGTTGGTGGTAAACAAATCTGTACGGCTGAACAGGCCTAAGGCCAAGATCTAGCAAAGCACTTAAACACACGATTAAGTGCTTTACTGGATCAAAGGCCTAAGTGCATCAGTGAATACTCTTTCAATAAAACACTCTCAGAGAGGAAATGACCTCCATGGTGCAGAATACTTGATTTCAGAGGGTCTGATGGGGACCATGTGGAATTTACATATAGCCAATGTGGCTTTTAGTTGGCTAATTTTCCTTATAAAAAAACTGTTGTTTCAGGAAACAGCTGGATTGGTGTGGTGCTGACATCTGGGAGACATAGGGGTGTACAACCTAATGGGTCCTGGTTAATTTCTGTGCTTTCTTTCAGCAGGTACTCTGACGACTTAAGTTAATGCCTCTTCCTATCACATGGGGAATTTAGTCAACTGGAGTCTTGGGTGAAGTAAAACATTGACAGAATGCACAAATGGGAATAAAACCAGTTTCTGGCATTAGATCTGATCTCACTAAGTGAATACATAGTCCAAAAACAGCTCAGGAAAGAAGAGGGGAAAATCCTCTTCCCTATGATAGAGGTAAATGCTTAAATCATTAAGAAGAAGAAAAAAGTGATCAGGAATTCCATTGGCCACAATTGTTAGTTTTACTTTACTAAAAATACAAGTAAATAAATGACAATGTTTGATGCACCAAAGGGCAGCATCAGAAGTTTTCTGGGGAGGATCTGCATGAACTTCTTGACAGGGTTCAGCTGAATTTGAAAGTTAGGATGCATCTTGCCCACATCTGGATCTTATTGAAATGGTGCTCAAATAATTTAAAAAAAAAAAAAAAAAAAGGAATTTTCCAGCTTCCAACAGATTTGTGTTACAGGGGTGAGGGAAAGTTGAAGCTAGTGTAGTGCTTGCCACTTTTGACTGTAAATGTCAGAAATCTCTAAGTCTCTGGAGAAATGTGTTTCTCCGTGAAGAGTCATACTCAGCTCTAATGACACTACATTCAATAATAAAGAAGGAATGAGAATGAAGTTCTTGTTTGAGGAGTTGTTCAAGACTGACAAGGACTGAAATAGGACAGATAATATAAACAGATGCACAGATAATTACAGAACTGGTATATGGAACTATTCATTGTCATATCTAGTTTAAATGACTGCTAGAAACATGGATAATGTCAGATTTCTTGACATGGCACATATCCAGCTGGGGACTAGAACATATGTGGGGAAAGAAAGATGTATGCATGTGATGTGGAGAAGCAGACAGAGGAGCATAATTCTGTGCATTGGGTTTGTACCAGGCTCCCAACAAAACTGAAGTGTCCATTCTTGGGTGGTTTGAACTGTCTGGCTCCAGGACTTGGCTATATTTATCCTGGCTGATGTATTCTGTCAAATGTGCCCTGCTGTTGATAAGGTGCCGCTGGTGACAAGAGTGGGGGAATCAAAGGGGAGGAGCAGGATGGGGACTTCCAGCCAGTGTTTTTTAAGGGGTCTCAAAAGTCCTGCAGTCTCATTCCAGTTCAGCTCAGACCCTGGCTTCGAGGCACCACTGGGAGCTTCAAGAAAGACAAAATCAAGATGCCAGAGCCTGCAAAGAAAACAGGTAAGGACAACAACAGAGAGAGAGAGAGAGAGAGAGAGAAACTGAATGTAGCCTGGCTGAGAGAGTGACTGCCAAGCAGAGCAGCTGTCCCTATATCAGAGAAACAAAGTAGAGAAAAAACTAAAAGTGACATTTTGTAAAAAGTTAATAAACAAAAGAAAGAGATGGATTCAGAGAGCTCACAGGGAGATGAGGGATAAGTTCACTCAGAAACTCCCACCCAAGTAATTAGCTCCAGAAGCTTTGGCTGAGGGAAAAGGACAAAAATTAAACTGTTCCATTGAAATTCCTTTCACTTCTTCTCCTAGGCACCATCAAGGCAGTGAAAGTAGCTCACAGTCCTTCTCCTGGGTATTTTCCAGACAATAAGCAACAGCCTGTGGTAGAATTTTTGGGCATAAAATCTCAGCGTAAAGACAAAGTTCATAGCAGCTGGTTCACATTTTGATCTTTCTCTCAGAAAGACAGGCAGGCAGGCACACTATAGCTCTAGGGAAACAGGGAACTCTGAGGGGTTTATACATAGAATCACAGGGTTAGCAGGGACCGCAAAGGTCATATAGTTTAACCCCCTGCCAAGATGCAGGATTTGCTGTGTAAACCATCCAAGACAGATGGCTATCCAGCCTCCTTTTGAAAACCCCCAGTGAAGGAGCTTCTGCAATCTCTCTAGGTAGTTCCCTTTCCTCTCCTTCCCACTCCAGTGAGCCAGAAGATAACTTCTCCTCTATTGAAATAGGTCAGAGCAGTCTACCAATATCAGGGAGGCAGCTTAGCACTCCCCTCCCACTCCCACACTTGCAGAAAGGAAGCACGCAGAACAAAACAGATATAGGACATCCCTAATTATTCCCTTGATTATTTAATATTTGGAATCAAGAAGCTAGTCACAAGCCACCTGCCTATGTTGAAAGAGGAGAGCTATGAGAGGTGTGGGGAGAGGGTGCAAGTTACAAGAAACTTGTGAAGGAAGATACACCACCCGTAAGGCAGAGTTGAGTGGAGAGTATTTAGAGGGCATCTGCCCATGAGAACACTGTATGTCCACAACTAACTTCAAAGAAGGGGCTGAAAGTTAGTTATGGATGTTTGAACATTGTGTATAGGAACATGCAAAAATAGAAAATTATACTAAGTCTGAGCATTTACACTTAAGGGCAGAATCTGCTCTCAGTGAGACTTGTGTAAAACTGAAGTGATTCAGATCAGAATCAATCACTCACATACACTGTACAGATCTGTTCAGGTGTACATGTGACTTTTTACAAGCACACATTTTTCAGGGATAGTTAATAGCAGCTGTTTAGTGTTTATTTTAAGCTATTGGAGGCTTGTGTACAGCTTGATGGCTGTTCAGTTTCTTAGCAATATACTGTTAGGGTGGACAGAGAAGAAATCTTCCCTACTTGTTCAAACCTAGATACATTAAGAAGCACTTTTGGTTGAAACATTTGATATGTTACGTCCTCTGAGCAGCCACATTTGCTGCCTCTGGCACTTATTACACTAAAGAATTCTAGAGACCCACGCCTCATAAATAAGGTCATGTGTCCAGACCAAGGGAAGTGCCTGGCAGACAGAATATTCAGAGGGCTTATACTCAAACCAGCTCAGTAAGAGCCTCTTCATCATGAACAAAAACATCCTGAAACACTTAAACTATATCTTTATGTTTTCTGGTATTTTTTCCCTTATTTCTAATTATTCAATAAAATACATTATTGCCAGTGATTCTATGAGGCATCATTCAATTTCTTCACAAAACAAAGGACTGAAGAGGGGTTATTCTCTCCAAAAGCATTTACGACTTCTGTGATGATTTCCAGTTTGAGCAACCTCTTAAACATTGATTATTGTCAGGATCTATAGAATTCAGACCTAAATGCTTTAAACAAACATGGAACTGATTTCTTGAAAGTGAGACAGGCACTTTATTCCATTAAATGTAAGTATATTCTAATAAAGGTCTTTTTCTCCATAGTCCAATAAACAGTCAAAGTGCTCTTTCAGGGCTAGTTATTTAATATTGATTTGAGATATTATTGCTAGAATCATAGTAATAACTGATTTAGAATCTCCCTGTGATAATGCATATGCACACATGCAAAAAGCCTTTGATAGCTGCAACTCTTTGAAACAGTTGCCAATCTTTTTATAAAAGCAAATCAATCATAAAAAATGTTTCCTCCTTTTCTTCCTTATATGGGAAAGATAAAAACAGGATGCGGTGGGGTGGTGAGGAGAGGAAGCAAAAGTTACACTGGACTTTTATCCAGGATTTTACACATAGTCAGTAACAGTTTTATCATCTCATGACTTGTCGTGGCTAGAAGCTTATTTGGAACCCACTAGAAAGCTAAGATTCCAGCTTTTCCATTGATATACATACTGCATTTATTTCTAGCCCAGCGAAGTTATAACATCTCAGATCATGATATTACAAGAGCCTTATAAATAATCGTTACCATCATTTGTAGACATTTAATAAGATTAGTAGTACTAATCTTTGTCATTCAGATACATGTACATTCACGGGGACACATCCTCAACTGGTAATGCTCCATTGAAATCAATGGAGCTATGTCAATTTACACCAGCTGAGTATCTAATCCCATGGTAATTAAGGCATCCTGACTTTCTGGGGTATAGGGTTGAAAATACAGTAGTAAGCAATTTACAAATTCTAAGCATTTGCAAAGATTATTTTATCTATGCTAGATTTTAAGAGTATCTTGTGATGTAGCATGAAATTTTTATACTTATATGCAGTATCAATTAGAACTAGGCTCTATACCATGTTCATCACCTTGGTATTAAATACCTACACAGATAAACCCTTATACCACACTATCACTTTATAGCTGTTGTACCTACTAAAGAGTGCAAAACACTTTCCATTTTAACACATTTGTATGTATGCTCAGAACTTTGACTTTCATCTTTTGTAGTCAAGTTGCACTTTTCAAAAAATTCTATCTTTGAGCAGAGACCAAATATGAAAAGTTTAAACTTAAACAGCCAAAGGGATGTTATGAGCCTGTCAGAAGCAAATTAACACACCACCACCACCACAAGCATTCTTGCCACCTCTCAAATGTTTGTGAGAATAACAGTTGAACTTTGATACATCAAACTTGTCATGTAAAAAGACCTTTAAAGAAATATGCATTTTGTTAAATATGGAAGAGAGAGTCTAGGAATGTTGAGCACTTCTGAAACCTGGCCATTTATATTTAGTTACCTAAATATAGATTGAGAAGTACAGAGTTAGAGACCTAGATTAGAAAATGTTGGCCAAGGTTTATAATAGAACCTGATTGCAGCTTTAAGCATGGAGAAGCTATAGCTACTACATAAGACATAGCTTGTAAACCCTTATGTAGATTATAAACTGTTTGGGGCTATGCTTGCATAGTGCCTAGCACAATGGGGTCCTGGTTCATGGGCTCCAGTATGCTATGTAATACAAATAAATAATTTACATCACCTTTTCTTTTGTAGCTCTGAAGTTTAATCATTGTCCCCATTTTACAGATGGGATTTTGAAGGCACAGACAGGTTGAATGCCCAAAGTCACAAAGCAAGTGTGATTACTCTCAGTCCTTTGTAAATTCTATTAACATGAGCAATCTCAGTTTCTGAAATAGAGGAAAATAAGTTTGAGAGGCTTTATAGCTTTGATCAAGTAATGGTTAAGCCTGTACGTGCAAGAAGCCACTTAGCTCTGACTAAGGAATTTATAGCTCCTTCATATAGTTCAAGAGCAAGGAATTTACATGCCCCTTGCTAAAGTTTGTGGAGCTTTTAACCTGCACAAACCTAACTGCTCCAGTTCTTATCTTAAAGGAAAGAAGAGGGGGGAAAGGAAATGCAAAGAACTAGTATTAACTGTAACATTAAAGCTGCAACATCAAGCCTTGAACTATTCAGCAATTTTGAAAGTTAATATTTTTTTCTGAAATGTTAACTTGGCTTTGTTGCACATGTAATCATTTTACCATAAGATATACAGGATCTGCAATAAGGCCAATTTAGCACTGCAGGAGAAACCCTAATTTTTGGTATTTCCTAATTTTGTGTCTTTGATTTTACAAACTTCATGTTTTCTGCATTTTCTGCTCATTCCCATCACAAAGCTCTAGTGGACTTCCAGTCTGCTTACTGCAGGCTATGTGATCACCTAAGTGCCATTCTTTTAGTATATAGTATACAGTCACTTTTTTATTCCAGTGAGCTATACGTGTAGTAGTTGTTTTAAAACTCACTACTAAAGGACCTCCTTGTGACCAGGTCTGGCAGCTCTCTCCCCATCTAGCACCCCTTGACAGTAGCCACCCTAGCCCTCAGCTGGTCCACCTTTTCCCATGACTCAGCCCTCTGGCTTAGTCATGATTTTAAGTCCACACCTTCCAGTGTAATAAAATCCCACAAACAGTTCAATGATGTAAAAACAAGACCTTCAGCACCAACTCCAGGCACTGTTGTCCTCAGTCCCGTCTCTGACACCTCTCTATCATCCCTGTCCCCTTCTCTGGGCTCATACCATCTTGCCAGTAGCTAAAACAGGAACCCAGCTCGCCCATTACACTCAGTTCCAGCCCAGGGACCCTATAACCAGCAGCCACGGAAAAGCTCCATCCAACTCCTAGCTACAGCCTCCCAGGACTTCTTCCTATTCAGAGCCTCTCCAGGTTAATCCTTTCAGGGACCTTGGCTCTCAGGGCCCTCCCTGGAATCCTCTGACAAACTCAAACCAAAAGTACAAACTCAAACAAGTTTTTATCTTCCTCAGGCTTGGCTCTTCATGCCTATTAAGTTCCCCTTGCTGTGCCCCTGCCCCCCCAACCACTTCCCAGGACTCTCTCCTTAAAAATCCAGATTATGCCCTTTTATCAGGGTTTACCATTGGAGCCTGCACTACCCCACAGTGGCTGATTCATCTTTTTCCTGGCCTCTTACCAGGGCTTACTCTCTGCCTGGACTTCCTCCTTGACCCTCCTGGTTTCACTACTTACTCATCCCAGAGAGCAACTACAGAATTTCACCCTCCAGACCTCTCCTGTGCTAAACTTCCTGCTTTTTGTACTAACTATCCAGCTCCTTCTCTAGCTGGGCTTCATCTCTAATTATTCCTAGCTCAACCTCAGAGGACAGCTTATTATGTTAATTGGCCTCTCAGGCCCAGGTTACCCCTTTCACGGCCTGTGTGTGGTACAAACCCTACCACACTCCCTTTCTTTCATAGGCTGACCTCTTATCTAACAGGGCTTGGTGATGACATGACATCAACAGCATAGTGGGGGAGGGGCCTCATTGAGTGAGAACTTACAACTCCAGGGGTGCAGAAGGAATCTAAAAATAAACAAAAAATCCCCCATCAAGTTTAAAATCTCTTCTGTGTGGGCTATGCCTCTTCTGCACTACACGTTGGAACATTCATAGAATCATAATAGTCCTGAACCACTTCTTTCTCCACAGAGAGCTGGTCACCTCCTCCCCATGCTGTGCTGCCCAG